TGTTGAATGAGTTCTGGAGTGGAGGGCTCTTTTCTGAGTTCACGCAATTTTATTTTTGTAATAAACCGGATTCATTAACATATAAATACATACATATGATTTCTTAAACCTCTTTAGGACATCTCACGTAAATTCATAAATTTTTTAAAAATCTGATTTTGGTCAAAACCTGTGTCTCCAGTTTTGGTTCAGAAATGCAATGGCTGCTCTGGGAGCTGCCTCATGAGGGAAAGGGTCCTGACTGGGATGCACTTCCTGTCCCCCGTCCCCCACACACCAGCCCTTTGGCCCCTGGTGGCCAGTTGATCTGCGGTGGCCCTGACACCTCATCTCAGTTCCCCCGCCTGGTGTTGCTTCTGGTGGGGCCCGGGGCCTCCCGTCCCAGAGCTCCCAGGGCCCTGGCGACCTTGGCTCCTCGAGTTCTGCTTCATGTCTTACTTAGGGACCAGGAATTGCGGCCACTGGAGGTGGGGGCAGCTCAGACACTGTCTGCTCCTGGCCGCAGGCCTGCGAGGGGAGCAGACAGTGTGGGGTGGCCCCTCCTGAAGCTCCCCATTAGCTGGCCCCCTGTCCAGCTACCCTGCTGGGATGGCGGCTGTCCTTCTGGTTCCCTTTGAGATTCTCGGGGACAGAGTGATGTTGGGTGTCTGGACCGTGTCCCTGGATTAAGAAAGCAGATGCTGTGGGATGAAGGGGCAGACAAGCTGTCCGCAGAGGAGGCTGCTGCTTCCCGGGAGACNCCCCCTGTCCAGCTACCCTGCTGGGATGGCGGCTGTCCTTCTGGTTCCCTCTGAGATTCTCGGTGACAGGTTCGGGGACAGAGTGATGTTGGGTGTCTGGACCGTGTCCCTGGATTAAGAAAGCAGATGCTGTGGGATGAAGGGGCAGACAAGCTGTCCGCAGAGGAGGCTGCTGCTTCCTCTAGGAAACAGCAGCTCAGTCAGCAGTTCTGCACGGGGACCAGGTTTGCCTTCCGAAGACAAAATTATGGAGAGAAGAAACCGTGTGCGCTCTGTTGAGAAACCCAAGGAAAACTGTTCTGCAGAAGCTGTAGGGTGGGCGGATGGGTGGAAAGGTGACGGGATTAAGAAGCACAAATAGGCTGCTGCAGAACAGGCCCGGGGATGTAAGGTCGGCACAGGGAATAGTCAGTAATATTCTAATAATGCTGGATGGGTCGGATGGCTGCAAGGCTGTGGGGAGGATCACTTAGTAAGTTCTGTAATGTCTAATCACTGGGTGGGACATCTGAAGCTGGTATAATAATGTTTGTCAGCTGTAGCTGAAAAATAAAAATTAAAAAGTAAAAGTAAAAAAAAAAAAAAAAGAACACAGAAAGATAAAGGCCAGATTATGGAAAAGGTGACCAGGCAAGTAGTAACCAAAAGAAGGCGTGTCAGGAGATTTCAGGCCAAAAGCATTATAGAAATGAGGGAATTTGCTGCAGGATGATGAATGACTCCGTTCACTGGGAAGACGTATGATTCTAAATTTCTGTGTACCTCCTGAATTTGCCTCTAGCCTCTTACAAAACCAGGCAGACAGGATTAAAGGAAAAACTTGTCCAATCCATCAGCTCTTACACACTTACAGTAGATCACCCACTAATCAGTACAACAAATGGATCCCCCAAAGGAAGAAAATAGACAATGTGAGCCATGTAACTCTGGAACTCGAGCTAATGCACTTGACTGCCTCTGATGCCTGGGAAAGAAAGACACGCTCCCTTCAAGCTCACCTGGAGCGCTGGCCGAGGCTGACGCACCTGGTGACACGCTCCCTTCAAGCTCACCTGGAGCGCTGGCCGAGGCTGACGTACCTGGACGTAAAGCTGGGGCCTCAGTATACGCCAAGGGCCGGGGTCCGACCCATCCCATTTCCTTCCCTACGATGCAGTTAAGCTGGGAAACAAAGCCAACAAGGTAATTTAAAAATGCGTTCACTTGAAAATCTAATACTTATAATCAGCTCATGGGTCAAAGGAGAAATTAGAATCGAAATCAGAATATTTCATCATGCAACTTTTCACATCCAACTTATGGGATACAATACTTGGAAGGCAACTTAAAGTACTGGTCTTTAAAAAAAATAAGGCTCAAAATGGAACTGAGACCTAATATTAAAGACCCATAGGTGCAGAGGCAAGGAAATTAAAAGAACAGAAATTCATGAGATAGAGAAGCACATAAAGAAGAGACCAACAAACAAAAACTACATGTTGGAAAAGATAAGACTCATTTTTTTTAAAGGCACAAATAAATGGAATGAAAAAAAAAGAACATTACCACAGATGGTACAGAGAAAAACAGGTAAGAGGATATTAAGGGCAATTCTCAACACACTTCAAAACATTGACATAATGGATGGTGACATAGACAGAACTTTGTGAAACAGATCAAGGAGAAAGAAAAATTAAAATAATCCTTTAACTGTAAAAGAAATGTGAGCAATAGTAAGACATTTCAGTGAAGAAAGCACCTCACTCAGGTGGTGCTGTCTGAATGGTGCTGAACGTCTGGAAAACAGACAATTCCACTCTTACCCAGGGAAGGGAAAAGAAAACACTCACAACCATGGATGCAAAGAACCTGGACCAACACAACCCAACCAGACCCAACAACGACTGAAAAGTCATGATCCAGTTAGTGCATTCCAGGCATTCAGCTGATTAATACTAGAATTTCATTGGTAAAACTTACTACATTAATTAAAAAGGAAAAGTTACATTATCTCAAGAGATAAAGAATCTGAAATTCAACATCCACATACGACATTAAAATTTTCTTAGCATATTTTTAAAAGAATAGAAATATCCTTAACTTGGTGAAGACCTACAAAAATATAAAGCAAACGAAGTCTATGGGGCGACATGGGAGGCACCCCTCTGAGATTGGGAATGAAGCAAAGACGTCCTCTCGTCACCTTCTCCCTCCTAAACACTGGTGGAGGCTGAGCCAGCCCAGGGGTGGTCGAGAAGAAACAGGAGTTTTAGGGGTGGGAATGGAAAATAGCGCAGCTGCTGTGGAAAACGTGTAGCTGCTCCTTAAAAATTAAACAATTACCGTATGATCCAATAATCCCACTTCTGGGCATGTACCCAAAAGCACTGAAAGCAGGGGCCCAAAGAGAGAGTTGCGCACCACTTTCACAATCGCGAGAGGTGACAGCAACCCAGGTGTCCATCAACAGACGGGGGGTCACAAAGTGTGGCCTATACACGCGATGGGGCATTATTCAGCCTTAAAAAGGAAGGAAATCTGCCACCTGCCACAACATGGGTGAACCTGGAGGACAGTACGCTAGTGGAATAAATCAGTCCCAACAGGACAAATCCTGTAGGACCCCACTTATGCGAGGCACCTGGAATAGTCCGGTTCATAGACAGCGAGCAGAACAGAGGGTTTCGGGGCTGGGGAGGGGAAGGGGGTTGGTATCTAACGGGACAGTTCCAGTTTGGGGAGGTGGAAACGTCTGGAAATGGGTGGTGGTGATGGGGCACGAAACGCGAATCTAGTGTCTCTCACGTCGGAGTTTCTCCCCTAGCCCCCCCTTCACACTCTGAAAATCAGTGGAGAAAATATCCTCGGGTGAGCATTAAACAAACAAACAAACAAACGTGAGTCTACTTAGTGCTGCTGAACTGTACCCTGAAATGGTTAAAATGGCAGATTTTGTATTATGTGTGTTTTGCCATAAATTTTAAGAAGTTGTAAGAATTCCAAAGGAAGGAACAAAGTGACTACAGTGAGGTGTTACCATTGTCCACACACAGGCTCCCGAGCCAGCGCTTCCTACGGCCCAGGGGGCTCTGTGACCCGGCTCCTGCGTGGGGCTGGTTTCAGAGACACATGGGAAATTATGCGTCAT